ATGAGCTATGTAACAATTGTAGATCTTGCTGAGATGATCAAACTTGGTATTCAGAGTTTTTTCATCTGAGGTCATTTAGTGTCTCATTTGAGCAAGTTTGACCAAGTCAAATTTGGTCAAATAAAAAAACAACACTTTGACTCTAGTATTATGAACTCTAAATGACTTCAAATTGAAAAGTTTTGAATACCAAGTTTGTTCAAATCATCAAGATCTACAATTCTTGTTTTGGTCAACTTCCCATTTGAGATAGTTTGGACGGTTCAAATTTATGATTTTTAAAATTCAATGCTTACAAACTAGTTTTCGGAACCCTAGATTGTCTCAAATTGAAAAATTTTGAATACCAAGTTTATTCAGCTCATCAAGATCTACAATCCTTATATAGGCTATTTTTTCATTTGAGAAAGTTTGAATAAAATGTAGTTCAAATTTCACAAGTGTGTGACATAGTTTCAGAAAGTCTATATGAGATTCAAGAATTTGTGACTAGTGTTTGATAAAACTTTTTCAAATGGGAAAATGAGCTATGTAACAATTGTATATCTTGCTGAGATGATCAAACTTAGTATTCAGAGTTTTTTCATCTGAGGTCATTTAGTGTCTCATTTGAGCAAGTTTGACCAAGTCAAATTTGGTCAAATGAAAAAACAACACTTTGACTCTAGTATTATAAACTCTAAATGACTTCAAATTAAAAAGTTTTGAATACCAAGTTTGTTCAACTCATCAAGATCTACAATTGTTGTTTTGGTCAACTTTCCATTTGAGATAGTTTGGACGGTTCAAATTTGTGATTTTTAAATTTCAACGTTTACAAACTAGTTTTCGGAACCCTAGATTGTCTCAAATTGAAAAGTTTTGAATACCAAATTTGTTCATCTCATCAATATCTACAATCCTTATATAGGACATTTTTTCATTTGAGAAAGTTTGAACAAAATATAGTTTAAATTTCAAAGTGTGTGACATAATTTCAGAAAGTCTATATGAGATTCAAGAATTTGTGACTAGTGTGTGATAAAACTTTCTCAAATGGGAAAATGAGCTATGTAACAATTGTAGATCTTGCTAAGATGATCAAACTTGGTATTCAGAGTTTTTTCATCTGAGGTCATTTAGTGTCTCATTTGAGCCTGACAAAGTCAAATTTGGTCAAATAAAAAAACAACACTTTGACTCTAGTATTATGAACTCTAAATGACTTCAAATTGAAAAGTTTTGAATACCAAGTTTGTTCAACTCATCAAGATCTACAATTGTTGTTTTGGTCAACTTTCCATTTGAGATAGTTTGGATGGTTCAAATTTGTGATTTTTAAATTTTGACGCCTATAAACTAGTTTTCCATTTGAGAAAGTTTGGACGGTTTAAATTTTGAAGCACTAAATGATTTCAAACGAAAAAGTTGTAAACAACAAAGTTTCATAACTTTTTGAGATCTACAATTTTTATTTTGATCATTTCTCCATCCAAGGTCGTTTGAATAATATCCGGATAATATCCGTTTGAAAATATCCGGATATATCCGATACTTAACCGGATTATCCGATATCCGCCAGATATCGATGATATTACATCCGTATTTGATATCCGCCTAAGATATCCGTTTTATTATCCGTATCCGAAAAAAATTACGGATATCCGAGTAACTATCCAGATAAGTGTTCATATTTGTTCGGTCGAACGGACGGTCGAATAAATATCCGTACCGTTTTCATCCATACTCTCATCCATGCCGACCTACAACCTCATGGTGTTCCCCCTCGTAGCCTGGGCGAGGAAGAGAAACGACAAAATTAGGAGATCATTTCTATGGAAAGGTGAAGAGAATGCAAATGACGGCCACAGTCTCGTAAACTGGCCAACAGTGGCTAGACCCAAAGACCTTGGCGGCTTGGGGATACCGGATTTAGAAAAATTTGGTAGAGCTCTTCGCCTACGATGGCTCTGGCAAGATTGGGTGGATGAATCCAAACCTTGGGCACGCGCAGATCTACCTTGCAATGAGACCGACCGGATACTCTTCAACATATCAACCAAGGTCACGGTCAGTGATGGTGCAAAGGCCCGTTTCTGGCACAACAACTGGTTGGAGGGCGAGGCCCCCAAATATTTAGCACCACATTTGTTTGAGTTGGTTAGAAGAAAAAACAAATCGGTCCAACAGGAACTCCGAAGCAACAGTTGGATCCGAACGCTAAGAGGCAGGATCACCACCACCGTCCAACTTGAGGAGTTTGTTTCCCTTTGGATAAGGCTCCAAAATATCCAGCTGACGCCGGGTGTTCGCAACTCCATAATTTGGAGATGGACTCCTGATGCCTCTTACTCCACCCGCTCAACATATAGGATCCAGTTCAGAGATTCCTATGGTGAATTCCGTAATGACCTCATATGGAAAGCACATGCGGAGAACAAATGTAAAGTGTTTGCTTGGGTCCTGGTGCGAGAAAAAATCCTAACAACGGATAATCTACAGAAGAGAGGCTGACCTCACCAGGACCAATGCACCCAATGTAACGGACCTTTGGAAACGTGTCTTCATCTTTCACTGCTTTGCCCGTTCGCCAAGACAGTGTGGAGCCAGATTCTATCATGGGAGCATTTTATTGTGCAGTTTATCCACCCCACTCAAGCACCATCTCACCTAAAGTCATGGTGGGAATGGGCCGCATCCAAGATACTGAAACAAGAACAACGACGCTTCAACGGAATGGTGATCTACACGCTGTGGAATATATGGAAGGAAAGAAACAGAAGAATTTTTAACAACCACCATGAGTCGGCAATGCAGGTGGCCTTAAGGGTAAAAGAGGATATCAATCAAAGTAAGAGGGCTATAGCTTGGGAAGGAGGCCATATCACATAAAACTTTCTGTAATCTTAATGAGGGCGTTGCCCCCTTTACTCTGTACGTAAACCTCTTTTCCCTATATTAATTGAAAGACAGAGCTCCTGCCATTCCGTTAAAAAAAACATACTTTTTCCAACCATCGTAAAATTTCTCATTTCATATATAGTTTGTCAATAGCTGCAATGTTGTGTTATTATAGCTATATAACTTTCTACAATAACGGTTGTGTTAGAACAACAGCACGCAATGCAAAAGAATCAGTTGCATTAGTTATTTGAGCACATCCAACATCCAGTGCAGCTTGCCAGGGGATCATACACAGAAGAAGTGCTTGCAGCACGGTTTCTATCATCTAGAAAGCATGCATCAAAGAATTTTTCAGAAAAAGAAAGCAAGAAACAAACAAATTCTCACCAATTCTGCTTCAGTATATAGCCGGCATGCCAGTACTAGTAGTAGACCCAATTGAGCACTGGCCCCTTCACAACCACCCCCACCGCAACACCACCAAACATTTGCCTCTGCCACCTTCTACGAGCAGAGTGCACTTGTCCTAAGTGTCTAGTGCTGAATGACGACGACGACGGTGATGATCGATCAACCAATCAGCACATGCTTTTGGTCATAGGATAGCTTTTTAGCTGCACTGGTGCAAACCTTAATCAGCAGGCATGCATCCAACTTTGGGCATCTCCAACAGATATATGGTGAGGTGTGGTAGGCTGACACAAAGGACAATGCCCATACACACATGATGACCAACCTTTTTTAGGTTCCATGTAAAAAACAGTCAGATGACCATCAGGGCAGCTCCAACAATGACTGAACTAGCTCTAGCTCCAACAATGACTGAACTAGCTCTAAGCATTTTATTGATAGAAGAGAGAGAAAAACTAACTTTTAATCAAGAGCCAGTTTTATATCAATTTCAAGATCATGTGAGGTTGTCATGTGGGTCTAATCATAGTATGAGTCATTAATAAAAGTTAATACTATTGAAGATGTTGTCTTAGAGCTAGTAAGTAGCTCTTACAGTTGTGGATTCCCTCAAGCAAAACTATTTACCCTGTTCACTTGGCTGATAAGCCATGTCTGAAAGTATTGTTGGTTGATTTGTTGTGAGAGAAAAATACTGCTCGTTGGCTGAAAAAATACGCCTTATAAGCCAAGCGAACATAACGATTGTCCTCCATTTACCTGTTCCCCAGTTTACTGTAGAAACTTTGAGCTTCCTTTTTTTATAAAATTTGCCCTGTTCGTTTCGCTGAAATTTAGCTTATGCTGATTTGTTGCGTACTGTTCGTTCGCTGAAAAGTACTGTAGAACAGGGCATTATTCATAATTTACAATGCATAGAATTATTAAAGTATCACAAATCATATGTTATGGATATCAAATGATATTGCCACACTAGAAGTATCGAAAACAATTTGTAGAAAAAGAACACGGTCAAAACTGTTAAAAAAACGATGCACGTAAACGAAAACATAGGTGAGTGGATGAGATGTGAGACAAGCAGACAAATGCTGCTGACACAAAGAATGAACAAGACAACAATATAATTATAGCAAGTTGCAACAAGAGGATCCTGCACGGCTGCACCTAAGCCCACTGCAAAATCTAGTTGCCTCCACAGATCATCAGCGGTCACAAAGGCAGGGCAAAGATTCTGAACCCTAGAAAAAATCCAACTGGCACAGATGAATTCCTCCTGTGGATATCACCTGCACCCTCACCAGTTCTTGTTCCATAGCATCTGTGCTTGGAATATTAGCTGAAAGCTCAACCACCATCAGGAACTTGGTCTCGGATAGCCTGATCATCACAGTCAGGCTCTAGAAAGTGGATTCAGAAACTATATTCAATTTTTTTAAAAAAAATCCACAGATGGTGGAGCCTGCAACTGCAATGCAGCAACACACAAAATTTAGACCCAACAGTAATTTTAAATTACGCGCGCCATGGTGATCGCTGTCAGAGGTCAGAGCTATATATATATATATGCATATGCTTTCATGGTTCACCATGGCCATACGCCCATCTCTCTGCTGTCATTCCTCCCTTCAGAGTTCAGAGCGCGCGCCGGCAGCAGACAGCCTCCGCCGCCGCCGCCTCCACATCAAGGCAGCAGCTAGCTCCCTCCGATGTCTTGTGCCGCCGCATTCTCGCTCCTCGTCACGCTCGCCGCTTCCGTTACGCCGGCGGCGTCCCAGGGAGCCGGCGACGCGGCCGTCCTACGCGCATTCCTCACTTCCCTGCCGCCAGCCTCCCAGCACGTCCTCCTCCCGTCGTGGAACGCCACGACCACCAACAGCAGCGGCGACACCGGGCCGAGCCACTGCGCGTTCCTCGGCGTCCAGTGCACCGCCACGGGCGCGGTCGCGGCGGTGAACCTCTCCGGGCAGGGGCTGTCCGGCGAGCTCGCGGCGTCCGCGCCTCGGCTCTGCGCCCTGCCGGCGCTCGCGACGCTGGACCTGAGCCTGAACAGCTTCACGGGCGCCGTGCCCGCCGCGCTAGCCGAGTGCTCCGCTCTCGCCACGCTCGAACTCAGCAACAACTCCCTCTCGGGCGCCATCCCGCCAGAGGTCGCCGCGCTCCCGGGGCTCACCTACCTGAGCCTCAGCGGGAACGGCCTCTCTGGGCCGGTCCCGGAGTTCCCGGCACGCTGCGGGCTCCATTACCTTATCCTCTACGGCAACCAGATCACCGGCGAGCTCCCCCGGAGCCTCGGCAACTGCGGCAACCTCACCGTCCTGTTCCTATCCTCCAACAAGATCGGGGGCACCCTGCCCGACATCTTCGGCTTCCTGACCAAGCTGCAGAAGCTGTACCTCGACAGCAACTTGTTCACCGGAGAGCTGCCGGCGAGCATCGGCGAGCTCGGGAATCTGGAGAAGTTTACGGCCTCGATGAATGGCTTCAATGGCTCCATCCCTGAGTCCATCGGGAAGTGTGGGTCTCTGACAACGCTACTCCTGCACAACAACCATTTCACCGGCACAATTCCGGCGGTCATCGGTAACCTCAGCAGACTGCAGCGGCTCACGATCAAGGACACGTTCGTCACCGGCGCAATTCCACCGGAGATAGGGAAATGCCAGGAGCTGCTCATCCTTGACCTGCAGAACAACAACCTTACAGGGAAGATACCGCCGGAGCTCGCCGAGCTCAAGAAGCTGTGGTCCCTGTCCCTGTACCACAACATGCTCCATGGACCTGTGCCTGCAGCACTGTGGCAGATGCCGCAGCTGGAGAAGCTGGCGCTCTACAACAACAGCCTAAATGGAGAGATCCCTGCAGAGATAAACCACATGAGCAGCCTGAGAGATCTCCTCCTGGCATTCAACAACTTCACCGGCGAGCTCCCACAAGACCTGGGGCTGAACACGACGCATGGACTTGTTCGGGTTGACGTTATGGGGAACCACTTCCATGGCACAATCCCACCTGGTCTCTGCACCGGAGGTCAGCTCGCCATTCTTGACCTTGCATTGAACAGATTCAGTGGGAGCATTCCAAGTGAGATCATCAAGTGTCAGTCTCTGTGGAGAGCCCGTCTTGCAAACAACCTGTTCAATGGCAGCTGACCTTCAGATTTGGGGATAAACACTGGCTGGTCATACGTGGAATTGGGTGGCAATCAGTTTGAGGGCAGGATACCAAGTGTGCTCGGTCCATGGCGGAACCTCACAGTGCTTGATCTGTCTCGGAACAGCTTCTCTGGTCCCATACCACCTGAGCTCGGCGCTCTAACCCTTCTTGGCAACCTGAACCTGTCGTCGAACAAGCTGTCCGGACCAATACCACATGAGTTGGGAAGCTGCAAGAGACTCGTCCGTCTGGATCTTCAGAATAATCTTCTCAATGGAAGCATACCTGCAGATATCATATCACTCAGCAGCCTGCAGCATCTTGTACTCAGTGGAAACAAGCTCAGTGGAGAAATTCCAGACGCCTTCACCTCAACGCAGGGCCTCCTTGAGCTGCAGCTTGGCGACAACTCTTTGAAAGGAGCTATCCCTTGGAGCTTAGGCAAGCTCCAGTTCATCTCTCAGATCATAAACATCAGCAGCAACATGTTGAGTGGCACGATCCCAAGCAGCCTCGGCAATCTTCGGATGCTGGAAATGCTTGACCTGTCAGAGAACTCCTTGTCTGGCCCGATCCCACCGCAGCTGAACAACATGATCTCGCTCTCTGCGGTGAACGCGTCGTTCAATCGGCTCTCTGGTCTGCTCCCTGCTGGCTGGGCTAAGCTTGCAGAACGGTCTCCGGAGGGGTTTCTGGGAAATCCTCAGCTATGCATACAGTCTGAAAATGCACCTTGCTCCAAGAATCAGTCTAGGAGGCGTATAAGAAGGAACACACGGATCATTATAGCACTGCTACTGTCAGCTCTGGCTGTCATGGCTTCTGGGCTGTGTGCAATTCACTACATGGTGAAGAGGTCACGGCGGCACCTGTTGGCAAAACATGTCTCGGTGCGTGGCCTGGACACGACGGAGGAATTGCCTGAAGACCTGACCTATGATGACATCCTTCGTGCCACTGACAACTGGAGCGAGAAGTATGTGATTGGCAGAGGCCGGCATGGAACTAAGGATGAAAACGGTCGAACTCGGTCGAAAAACTCCTCAACCATTTTCTACTTTCATATTTGAAATACGAAAACGAAAGCGAAAGCAGACAAGCCAGACACGAAAACGAACACGAACTTACAGAATATCTAGAATTTCGGAAACGAATCAATTCGAGCGGAAATATGTCGAACACGGTCGGTATGCGAAAATTCAATACGAAATACCGACCCACAATGCATAGCATTAAACAAGTGCATGACCATGATCGCCCTCGACTCGCTCACGGTCTGGTGGGTAATTACTTACTGTTACTGCTTGGTCATTTTTTAGTGCTTAATTAGCTTAGCTACAATGCCGGAAATTTACTGGTAGAGTTGAGAGTTGAGTCACAGCTCACAATGCCGCTCTGTCGATGTCAATGTTCTGTCTGCAGCACGTCGATCCAGTCATAGGTGTTCATGATCTCTGTGGGCTTCAATGCAGCTGCCAGGTTGGTTTACTCTGCAATCTGCACTCTTCTCTGGGGGCCATGCACGCGCGCGCTGGGCCAAAGGGAAGGGACAGGCCGCGGAGCGGGCCTGGCGGCTTGGGCTTTGTGCGTCGGAGCGGGCCACGAGAGGAGATGGGGTTCGGCTGGGCCGTTGGGGAGGCCAAGGCTGTCTGGGCCGAGGGCGCAGGTGGGCTGCTCGTGCGCGAGCTAGACCAAATTCGGTTCGAACCGAATTTAGAATACGGAAGACTCCGAATAAAATATAGAAAAGTAGAAATCGGTCGAACAAAGCCTAAACCGAATTCAATCCGATTTCGAATTTAGTATTCCGTATTTCGAATTCGAATTTAGTATTCCGTATTTTGTCCGAAAATACGAATTCGCTCGAGTCAAATGTAGAAAACGATGCAGTTCGATTCAGTATATTTTCTTTCCGTTGTCTACCGGACAGAGCTTGCTCCCGGAAGGCGGTGGGCGGTCAAAACGGTGGACCTGTCCCAGATCAAATTCCCCATCGAGATGAAGATTCTCAACATGGTGAAGCACCGGAACATCGTCAAGATGGAGGGCTACTGCATCCGCGGCAACTTCGGCGTGATTCTGTCCGAGTACATGCCTGAAGGAACGCTCTTTGAGCTATTGCATGGAAGAAAACCTCAGGTGGCTCTCGACTGGAAGGTTCGGCATCAGATCGCGCTTGGCGCGGCGCAGGGCTTGTCCTACCTGCACCATGATTGCGTGCCGATGATTGTTCATAGAGATGTCAAGTCAAGAAACATACTGATGGATGCGGATTTGGTGCCTAAAATCACAGACTTCGGCATGGGCAAGATTGTAGGCGATGAGGATGCAGATGCGACGGTGTCAGTTGTTGTTGGCACCCTTGGATACATTGCTCCAGGTAACATACATTTCCTCATTTCAGAAATTTCACAATCATTCCGATGCCGTATCATCTGGTCTCTTATGTTAACCTGTGTTGTCGGAAAATTTTCAGAGCATGGATACAACACAAGACTGACCGAGAAGAGCGACGTCTACAGCTACGGTGTGGTGCTGCTCGAGCTCCTGTGTAGGAAGATGCCGGTAGATCCTGCTTTCGGAGACGGAGTTGACATTGTGGCATGGATGAGACTGAACCTGAAGCATGCTGATTACTGCAGCGTGATGAGCTTTCTAGATGAGGAGATAATGTACTGGCCTGAAGATGAGAAGGCAAAGGCGCTGGACTTGTTGGAGTTGGCGATTTCCTGCACTCAGGTGGCTTTCGAATCCAGGCCTTCCATGAGGGAGGTGGTGAGCACCTTGATGAGAATAGATGATCAGTATATATAACAGATAAAGAGAGGTTCTGAAGAGATGGAACATCTTCCAATGATGCAGGCCCGTACATTAGCAGGTGCAAAGTGTGCGACTGTTCAGGGCCTCCAAAATTACAGGGCCTCCAAATTTACACAATACACTAAGTTCTTGGATGATAGAAAATTGCTTTCTTCTTGTGTCAATCTAGAAGTAAAACTTAAGAGTGAACGTTCAGATATTGATGAAAGATAATTATATGTGGAGTTAAAGTTCATCCAAGATCATATTGACAGATCTATGGGCCCTCTTGATATTCTGAAATATTTGAAACAGCATGGTTCTTTCCCAAACGCCATTATTGCATACAGAATTTTGTTAACCATTCCTGTTACTGTTGCATCTGCGGAAAGGAGCTTTTCTAAACTCAAGTTATTGAAGTCCTACTTGCGATGTACAATGACACAAGAAAGACTCAATGGGTTGGCAACAATAGCACTTGCAAATGATATTTTGGAGATGATCAAGTATGAAGATATAATTGAAGACTTCATTTCAAAGAATACTAAGAGAATGATGCTTTTCAGTAGAACATAAGGTCAGTTTGTTGCTTAAGTACTTTTTGTATTGTTTTAGCATCAAGATTTGATATGTTCTAAGTACAGTAAGAACAACGTATATTTGAAGCTTTATAATGAAGTAAAAGTATGCTTTTGTTATATTATTTTCTTATAAATTTTAGGACCACATCACGTGTTTCGTTCAGGTACCTCCAAATCGTTGGTACGGGCCTGCAATGATGAATATATATACAAAGTAAAATGAAAAGCACAATTGTATAGTTATGTTGCAGATTAAGGTGTCCTGATTGTTATCATGAAGATTTTTAGTAAAACAGTGGCAAACTAGTCCCACAGATTGCAGTGGGCAGGTTTTTCCTGTAAGTGCAGATTAACTAACCAAACCATTGTATCATGGGGCCTGAACAGCTAATCTAGTGTAGAGAAATCAGTGAAAACCAAATGCGATTCGAGAGGAATCTGTAGAAGAGGAAGAAAATTACACAAACCAACTCATGGATTCGAAATGCCGTAACCTGAAGCATAACTGGACCTGTACTGGAAGACAATATCATAGATAAAAGGTTGTTGCCTTCATGTATTAGGCTCAGTCGGTTAGGGTTGTGAGGTGAAGGGTTACTCCCCCCCCCCCCCTCTATGTTTTCTTGCTGTTTGTGTGTGCATGTGGGATTGCGTAGTCCTGTTTTTTTTCTCGAATACGCACGAGTGTGCATATCATTGTATTAGAAGAAAGAGTTTATAATACAAGAGTTCCGCTCCCGGCCGTTAGTTTTTGTGTACGCTACATTTTGAAGAAACAAACAACGTTCTTAATCAGTGGCTATCTTGACGACGTCCTAGCCCTGTGCCAGCGCACATAGCCCTCTTGCTCCAGCCTGAATCCATTGGTCGGCTTCGGCCTTGATGATGTGCAGTAGGTCACCGACGGACGATGTCGACTCCCGGAAACATCTTGCGTTTCGTTCCTTCCATAGTTGCCAGGAGACGAGGGCGAAGAGGGAGTCCATGCCGTTTCGCCGATCGCCATTGCACACTGACCGCAATCGGCGCCACCAGGAGAGCGTCGTTTGGGAGACTGGTGGAACTTGCTGCCCGAGCGCTTGCAGGACATAGTACCACACCTCACGGGAGAACGGGCATACTGCAATGATGTGGTCGATTGTTTCCTGTCCTTGGTTGCAGAGGTAGCATAACTCACGTGCGTCCAGACCGTGTCTCGCCCTTCTGTCGCCGGTCCAGTGTCTTCTTTTCATGGCAAGCCAAATGAAGATCTTGACCCGCAGTGGAGCCCACGTTTTCCAGATCAATCTATAGCCTGACATTTTGATTGATCCACTGTGCATCATGTCGTATGCTAATTTTGCGGTGTAGCATCCATCTGGCGTCCAACGCCAAATGGTCTTGTCCGGCTCATTGCCAAGATGGATGCCCACAACAACTGCCCAGAGATGTAGGTAGTCAGTGAGCTCGAGCACTGAGAGACCTCCGCTTATGTAGCGCACCCATGCTCTGTCATGGAGGCCTTGTCTGACTGTTAACGTGCGTCGCACCTGCCGCGAAATTCTCTGGTAAAGGTATGGGGCGATGGTGGCGACGTCGTCCCCATCAATCCACCGGTCTTCCCAGAACAAAGCGTTTCGCCCATCGCCTAGTCTGGTGAAGGTTGACGCTCTAAAGAAGGATTGGACCTCTTTGGATGTGTGGATCGGTAGTTGGCTCCACGCACGATCTTGATCGGTCTTCTGCAGCCATAGCCAGCGCGTTTGGAGGGCGAAACCGGCTAGCTTCAGATCGCTGATCCCAAGTCCACCGAGCTCCTTTGGCCTGCAGCATGCTTGCCAGGCAACCATGCACTTTCCTCTAATTGACTGATCCCTCCCGGCCCAAAAGAACCGCCTGTAGATGCCGTCAATCTCTTTCCTTGCCCAAGTGGGTAGTTTTTCTGCCATCATGGCGTAGATGGGAACCGCCCGTAGTACCGATTTTACCCAGACCAACCTTCCACTTCTCGCCATTAGTGATCCGTGGCTTGGTGGTAGCTTCCTGGCGACTGCTTCTACCAGGGACTGGTAGTGGGCTTTAGGTATTGCTTTGGTACTGAGAGGCAGCCCCAGATACTTGATTGGAAAATTCTGCATTTGACAGCCGAGGATGGACACAATGTCCGACATAACGTTGTCACCTCCGTAGATGGCGGTGACTGAGCACTTGGCTAGGTTCGTATGCAGCCCTGTAGTCTGTCCGAAAATGCTGAGGATCTCCTTGACTGCCCTTGCCTCCTGGATAGATGGCCGTATGAATAGAATGGCGTCGTCGGCATAAATGCTGCATTGGATGTGTAACCTTGAAACTCTAGTTCTATATAATGAAATATGTGCCCTAGGATATGATCGAAAAAAAAAACAGGAAAAAAGGAATCCACTCCAATCCATTGTTTTCTTTTCCTACACTATTGCTCGAGCTGATGAGTACTTACAAGCTGGTGGCGGATGTCATCAACGAGCCAAGCATCCTGACTCCTGAGGACCGACGGCGTCGACGGAGAAAGCGAATCCACGGAGCACCGCCGGCGAAGCTTCAGACTGAGAAAGGCCCACCAAGCTGCGGGTCTCACCCCTGCCCCTGCATCTGGAGCAACCCCCACCCCCAGACCCCTGTTGCATCTAGCCCTCTACTGCTGATTAGTGGAGCCGCACGGCCTCAACTACTTGCCAATAAACGAGGGCACACATGACACAGGAGATCAAGAGATGGAAGAACTAACGGTTTGGGCCCTTTTACCTTTGGGTTTGTTGCTATCGTCCATCAATTGGGCCAATACAGAGGCGAAGAATTGAGCCAGACCACGGTCCATTATCAAGGTCCTGTCTAGTTCCCAAAAATTTTCACCTCAAAATATTACATCAAATTTTACGGCACATGTATGGATTACTAAATGTAGACGAAAAACAAAACTAATAGCGCAGTTGGGTGAGAAATTACGAGACGAAACTTTCAAACCTAATTAGTCCATAATTAGACACTAATTGTCAAATACAAACAAACGTGCTACAGTAGCCAAAACAAAAAAAATTAGCAACTAAACGCGGCCTAAATACATCAACGCCGTGCACTATTGGTGGATCAAGATAAGCGCTTCTACGATGAACTTCCTTTGTAAAAACGGTAATGCATCCGTCCGCGTGGGGGGCTCCTACGGTCCGGCCGTTCGGATGACTCCACGCGCCGGCGGGCAACGCGGGAAAAGCGGCAGCGTGGGAAATTTCGCGGGCGGCAACACACGGACGCATGGTGCGCGCAGGCTGGCCAATCGCGCAGGGCCCACCACATCTACGTTGCATGCGGTGACTTTTAACGAATTAAAAAAATGTTATAACTCTAAAACTAAATATCCAAATTAAATTCCGATTGCACCACCGGATTTCTTGTAATAAATTCTTCAAAATAAGATCCCACATGGATATTCAGATAAAATTTTATTAATGAACAGTTATCTTATGGAGATAAAATATTTTCTTTTATTGAGCGGAGACGATGTCCTAGGTTCAGAGAATAATGTTTCGTCTACGAAAGAAAAATATTCTCGGTTTAGAAGAACAATATTCTAGTTTTAGATTCATAAAATTATTATTATAATATTTAAATAAATAAATGCATAACATAAATAAAAAATAATAAAATCTAGAACAAAGCATAAGAAAAAAATAAAAACTTTGTAATAGAGAAAAATTTCAAAAGAACATCACAGTGATACTTTTCAAACATCCTAAAATATACTTAGAACATCATATTTATACTAAGTGAACATAACTAAATATACCATATTCCATCACTAAATATTCCATTGCTGACCCGCAGCCACCGCCGTCGAGCAGCGCCGGTCACACGGGCAAGTTGGCGACTCCGCCCCTACAGCACCGCACGCGCCGTCGTTCCACATTGCGGCGATTCCGCACAGAAACCCCGCCGCTGCTCTGGCCTCCACGCCGTGCCCCTGCAGCACCGCACGCGCCGCCCCCGCGCCTGGGCCCTTCGCTGGTCGACGGCCTGTGGCTCCACGGACCAACGGACCAGCCCTTGCGTGGCACGGCCCTGCGGCACCTCCCCCATCCCCAGCGGCCTACCTGCATGTCCTCGGAGTCGCGGCGGAGGTTGTTGAGGTAGAGCAGGCGGCGGAGCCTGCCCGCGCGATGGAGCAGCGCGCGGAGGGAGACGTAGGCGAAGGGCCGCGGCGGGGGGTCGGCGATGGGGGAGGAGGTGGATGGCCACGGGCGCCGCGGCGGCAAGTAGGAGGAAGACCGCCCAGGAGCCCAAGGACGCCACGTGCGAGGAGGAGTGGTCAACGCAGAGCCAGGCGAGGCAGGCACGTAAGCTGTGGAGCTCGTCGTTCATGCTCGACGCGCACCGCACCGCGGTGGCCGGTGACTTCCCAGGCTCCGACTGCAGCGGTGGCGA